CCAAGCAAAAGTGAATGACAAGGGTTCGCAAACATGAATGCCAGGGATGGGATATATATATATATATATATATCTATACATGTGATGATGTTGGATGGAGCCCGCGTGCCCCACTTTCCAAGCACGTGGGAGTATATTTCCTCTCCGCGTATCACTGGGCAAAGGAGCATAACAACTCCAAAGGCTCGTCCAGCCGCCTTCAGTGAAAGAATTGAACATCGCCATCTGGAAGCTCTGTGAAACTGCTGCTGAACCCAAACGCAATCCCCCGACCCACAAGGCCTCCTCAGCCACCTGAAGGCAAGCTTTCTTTCAGCCCAGCTTTGAAAGTGTTCTCCAGAAAGTGACTGAGCAGGACCGTGCCCTTGTTCTAGAGAAGCCAGGCTGTGGCAAAGCTAAACTTGATCAAGCCTACTTCGCTCTCGAGACCACCGCCATAACACATTGGAGCACGCTCCAGACAAAGTGCAAATGAAGCGGGCTGTCCGGCTTTCGCATACCCCACGATGCCCACGCTGGTTTCCCCCAGAGGAACTTTGGTGCTGGTGGGAAAGGTAAGGTGCAACTACATCTTCGATTTTTGGGAGGATCGGATCGACGCGTTCCGTTCTCTCGGCGCCCAGCAGGGGGCTTGCTTTTCTGCGACCTGCGGGCCAAGTTTCAGGTTTTTGGGCCTTGACTCACACGACTTCCCGCAAAAGGTCGCAAGTTTGCCAAGTGAACAGGTTGCAGTGAGGCACCAACCGCGAAACATGATTTTCAAACATCTGCCCTCCACTGTCGAGGTTGTGTCTTTCAAGGTGAACAGATCCTGTGTGTTCTATGGAAACCTCCCACGTGAGAGCAGCAACACTCTTGGCAAGTGGAAGGCGGAAGGCAGGTCGCTTTCATCTAAAACCCGACTTCCGAAACTCTCCCAAACCTTCCATTGTTCAAAAGAGGCGGCTTCAATTCTGCAGCTTCCAATTCCTGTCTACCACAACTGTTGGAAAGAACATGGGACGCCCCACACACCCCACCCCCCAACCCCCACCAATATGCGTGCCTGGCCATCTCATCGCGGATCTGCCGCTGGAGCCACTGGCGCTGGGGCAAGCTCAAACGGGACTCCTTGTCTTGAACGATAGCCCCCCAAAATGGGGTGTTTCTTTGGTGTCCCGTTAAACCAAACGCAAAAAAGGGGTCCGAAATATTCTAAGAAGCCCATGTCCATAAAAGCCGCGTTAAAATGAGGGGCGAAGTCGCAAAGATGATGGCCTTCCTTGTAGCTTCCCTTTGAACCAACTTGAAAAAACACACACAACGGACCTGACAAACACACACGAAAAGCAATCCTTCAGCTGCCATGTTGCGAGGCAAGCCAACGGCCACACGGGTTGCCGGCCACTTTGGCCTTTCGGCACCAGCCCAACCCTTGCGCCTTGGGCAAAGGCGGCACTGCAGACACGTGCCTGCGCGCAGTTTTTTGGCAAGAAAGCTGGCATGGGAAGCCGCTTTTGTTGCAGCTGTCAGATTGTTTGAAACGAACTTGCAAAACGAACTTGCGTGCAACAGCAGCTCAGTTGAGGAAGCTGACGCTTGAGAATATCTGGCAGCTCAATGGTCCAACGCACCCGGGGGCGAATCTCTTCACGGTACCAAAGCTGCTTCTGGTTCCTGTCAAAGAGCTCAGGGCTACCAACAACAAGACCAATGCGAGACTGGGTGCAAGGTGGCAATATAGGATTGTGCGAAGAAAATCAGCTCAGCAAGTTCAATCAGGTTGAATCAAGTTAAGTTGCGTCAAAACGGACTGAATCAAGCCAAGCCAAATTTCAAGTGACCTGGCCCGCGTAAGTCAAGCAAGTAAGCGGCTGCGCCACTGGGCGCGCCCAGCCGGCCAGTCGGCCAGCCAGCCAGCCCAGTCAGTGAATTTTGTCATCCGCGAATGGATGCGCACGACTCAAACGTTCTCAAAATGCTGTGCGCGCGACCAGATCGACCCATCGGCGAGCCAAACTCGGCACTGCCAGGAACCCGAGTCCGACTAGACGCCAATCGGCCCCAGCTATGCATGTTCCGCAAAGCTGGAACTGAGTCGAGGGCCCAGGTTTGCTCTCACCGGAATGCAAATCTGGAACGCTGCAAATCGTGCCTGGACCAGCTTTCTGCGGTATGCAAGGCCTCCTGAACGAGTCAAGCCAAGCTGAGTCTGAAAAATCGAGGGCGTCCGTTGTGCGTCACCAAAATCTGGTATGAAAGTGGTCTGCCCAAGCCGATGAAAAAGAACAGAAGGGTGGCCGCCTCCATTTATTGGGGCAGTCCTAACCTTCACCTATATACCCGGTTTTGCTGTGAATCATATGTACGCTAATAGACAGGACAAAAGATGCTGTCTCCGAAGGTCCGAGTGCTCAAACCTGAGACGCCACAATCGCATAAGCGCGGAAGCAGCGGCTATACGCCAGGCTGTCTGATTCAGACACCGCTGCAATGCAGGTCAACATCAATGCGGGAGGTGCAAACACCGATTGGAAGGTGCGGCAAGTCAGTCAGAAACTGCTGAAAACAGTGGGGAGCCATGCGCAACGCTTTCCACATGCCACGCAAGATTACATTGCACCATACTTAGAGGATGTCCATCTCATTTGGCCCTAGCAAACCGAAGCTTGGAATCTGCCCCAAGTCTCAGTAAGGCCGGCTTCTGCCATGGGCACTTGTCACTTGTGAACAGGATTCCTTACCAAACAGAAGCTCAAGTTGTGGCAACCAACATGTTGAAAACAATCAAGGGACATGCAAGGACCCCTGCAAAACGAACGCCGGGAATTCCGTTGTTGATTCCAAGAGGACAACGGACGTCTGTTTTGCAGGCCCAAAACAAACAAACAAACAAACACTATACTCTAAAGATGCAGGTTGCAAAGGCGACAAGGATGTGTCTTTTGGAGGTTCGGTACCCTTTGTGGCAAACACAATGTCAATTTGGGGACCTGGTCCATTGAGACAGAAAGAACTTTCCATCATTCCCCCACCTCACCACTCTCTCGACCGTTTCTCCTGTGGCTCACGAATCCATGGCATTGAGGGAGTGGGCGCCGTGGAGGACATGGCCTTGGTGGCCTCCAGTGGGGTTGACGTTCCCGTTTCGTATTCTTCGAACCAGCCCCTTTGAAAGGAGGGACGGGGGTCACTGAGCTTCCAAGTTGTTCTCGGCTTGGAATAAGACTTCAGGTCCGGGGAATAGAGGCACGAGCTTCCCATGGGCACAGCGTCCCAGCTGCTTGGAGTTTCTTACTCTACTGGGATCCTGGCACCTGCGTTGGCCTGTGCCATCGAGCGATCAATCACACGCCGGCGCCGGCATCGGTCAAGGTGTGGCCTCCAGCCTGATTGAAAACGCCCAAGGTCGGAACTCTTTGGGGAAAGCACGGCTTAATTCAGCGAATCAGTACACGCATGGCTTCAGAGGCCTGCTTTGGAAGCTGCGGCACTTCATTGCCACATTTAGACGAGCAAAAGACTCGTGGTGACATCAAAGACTCGAAGGCTTCAAAGCCAAGCTGAAGTTCAGTCTCGATTTGCTCACTAGTCACTTTCATGTTGGGTCAGTTCTCCATGCGGCCACCATGCACTGTATATCTCCACCCGGCGGCAAACCTTTCCCAGCCTCCGGCAACACCTCGGGAAACAACAAACGCCCAAAGCTGCCAGTTCCGCCCAAGGCTTCAATCCAGCTGTGCTGTGTGTGTGTGTGTGTGTCTGCGAGCTAGGGCAACCCTATCTGGGGCGGGTGCGTGAGTGGGTGGGAAGGGATAGTGGGAGGGGTGGAGGTTGGGCGGGCGGTGAGGGGTGGGAGGGTGGGTGGGGTGGGTGGGGTGGGTGGGCTGGGTGGGCTGGGTGGGCTGGGTGGGCTGGGTGGGCTGGGTGGGCTGGGTGCTGGGTGGGCTGGGTGGGCTGGGTGGGCTGGGTGGGCTGGGTGGGCTGGGTGGGCTGGGTGGGCTGGGTGGGCTGGGTGGGCTGGGTGGGCTGGGTGGGCTGGGTGGGTCAGCAACCCCAGCCAACCAGCGCAGCAGGTGGCGAAGCCATAGGATTGGATCCAATCGCTTGTGGCAAGCTTCCACGTCTCGCTCATCTCCATGAGCCCTACTTATCAGCGGAATATGCCAATGCCCAACGGAGTCCGGCAGAGCCAGCAACGCAGCTGCAACCCGTGGCTCGATTCAAACTGCCATGCGGCTAAGGCACTCTTCCAAAAGCAAACATGAACCGCGGTGGCAAATAGGAAGCTATGCGGGCACGACCATCGCGGCGGACTTTTCGTTTCCTGCGATTTGCGATTTGCTCGCGAACCTTGGAACACACCCACGACAGGCTCAAAAGAACGAACTGAGCCTTGTCTCATGCCATCATGGCCTACAAGGTGACACCTGACCATTTCAGCCAGGCTTCGTTAACAAAGGCCGGAGACCAAAAACACGGCAGGCACACTTGAACAAACTGCTCGCGATAGAACCAAATTGACCCAAATATCCCGGCCCCAAAGCCAAATCGGCTGCGAGGAGAGAGGCGTGAGACTTGATTGCATAGTTTGACGCTTCCCTGCTCAAGATGGCTTCAACCATCGTAGAAACTAGGTGCGTCATATAAAGCATGCCAACACAACTCTCCCACCCCAGTGCCTCTTCGCCGAAAAAACAAAGCAAGACTTTCAATAACACACGGTCGCAAAAGCGAAGTGGAATTCATGAAGATCTTGCTTGAGACTGCATCGAGCACTGACCGGTCGGCCAAGGGGAGGAGGAGAATGCTGACAGTGAGACTGGCGCACGCGTTTTTTCAACGTTGCAAGCCAAGAACGACGCTACGTAGCACCCCAAGGCAAAGACACTCGAACTGGCATTGAGAAAGTCGACCAGAGTCCAGAGAGGATGTCAACAGGGAATACAAAATGTGAATAAGAAAGGCTGAACCAAGGACACACACACACACATGAGAGGTCGCTGTTTGATGATCTTGGAATGGCCAATGGAGGTTCAAAGCCCCAGGGTCAGAAATAAGACCTGCTTTGAGATCATTCGACCAACCCGAGCGTCACGGCTCAGAAGCCTGGCAACGGGGCATCCCCAGCTGCCACCCGAGCAAAAGCACCTGCCTGGTCCCAAACTCCGTCCCAGTCTCTGGGTGGTGGATGCTCCTGGTAAAATTTACAGCCTCAGTGCACAGCATGCCCCGAACCTTGCAGAGAATGGTGGTGATCGCAGGGGAGCCCTTACATCCTGGCAATCGTTCCTGGTCTGAAAATGGCATCCGGCATAGAAACG